TATCTCTGCTGGTGGAGGGGAGAGGGATGACACGGGGTGGGGTGGGAAAAGTGCCAAGGACACGGTTGTGCCGGAGCGATTTTGGGGAGAAGGAGCCAAAATTAGAGTCCGGCCGTCTGGAAGGGGAAGGGGTCGCTCCCGGATTGCAGGCGGGAGGGGGCCGAGCTCAGCCCGTGGCTGGGGACAAGAGCCACGGTGCCGGGCTCCTCGCTAGAGGGACCGGGAGGAAGGGAGACTCCGTCTTTCCTGCATTCCGACTTCTAGCTGCCATCTCCGTCTTTCCAACAGCTTCTTAACCGGGTTAAAACATCAGCTTTTCCGTACAAAACCAACCTCTCCCTAACACACGTGTTTCTGAGCAGCCAGCGGTGTTCTGCCCCGTCCACAGAGATCAGAAAGGCATTTTCTCACCCATTTTAGCCCAACATGGCGGGGACAACCTTCCAACCAACCAACCAGAGAAGAAAAGAGGAGGAAGAATGACATTTAGCAGATGAGTTTTGCCTGTAACGAGCGTTTCTATCAGCACAGACCCACTGCTGACGAATCTGAATAGTGCAAACTAGTTAGAGGCAGTGGGAATGTGCTGAAAAATAACCCATTAGGGTCTGACCACTCGGTGTTTTTAAGACCCTCAGAGTTTCTATGAGCCGGAGTCTTCCCGCCCGCCCCCTCCCAGAGCTCTGGATTTAACCAGGGGATGAGGAAAAGGGGGAGCATCGGTACGTTTGACGTAGATGTTCCCCCAGAGCTGTCCCACCTGCCCTTCAATCCGTCGCATCCAAGCGCGGAGGAAGGCGGTTTCTTCGCCGAGGTTCCAGGCGGCAAGACGGGAATTAAGGTCAAAAGGTGGAGAACAACGAAGGGTCTGGTGTCCCGGCTTAGGAGACTTGTCCCATTGCTTGGAGGATCCCTTTCCTCAAGTGCCCAAGTGGAAGAACGTGGTTTTGCCAGGCTGGAGTGCTTGGTGGTGGGTGAGAAAGAACAGGTACCGGATTGGGGACACACGCTGATCTCCCAGCTCAGGGAGACGACCGTTCGAGAGCACCTTCTGAAGTTGGCTACGGCAGGGGGAACACTGGCTATAGCCCCTCTTGGCGAGCTGCAATCTTTAGCCTTTGGAAATCTCGGAAGGAAAAAGAGGCGGCCCAAGGAGCAGGAGTGTGCTTTTCAGGAGAGGAGTACGGCGCCCAATTGACAGCGGCTGGCAGAGCAGACGTGGCAATGTCCTTTGAAGAAGGAGGTGGCTGTCACCTCCTCCCCAAGCCCCAGTCCTTATCCATCGCTCCACCGCTCGTGTCTTTCCGGGCTGGGTTTGGATCCAGCTGAAGCGTTGGGGCTTCAGATGATGGCTACGGAGAGAAGAGCATCCTAAGAGCCCCGCAGATGAAACGCAGGCGAGAAATCTCAGCTACGGGACTCCGTAACCTCCCCATCTGGGCGAAGCAGACTACGTAGGCACTGCCACCGCGTCCCCAGCTGTGCCACCTCCAGCGCTGCCTCCGCGGGCACCTCCTCCGCCAAGGTCTCGGCCAAGGATGCTCGATGGTCTCCAGTGCCTCGGCCCGGGGAGGGGCACACACACGCGAACCCCCGCTTGCCGTCGCGGCGGGGAGGAGGCCGGCGGGCATCTGGCGTTAACTCTCTCCTCTGCTCTGCACGGAGACGCAGCTTCACTCGGAGCGTGTGTGGCGCGGACCGGGGCGGCAGGCAGCACCCCACCTTCGCTCCTCCCGATGCCAGGGCTGGGTCAGAGACGTGCTGTCTTCCAAAGCACCTCTTGGCATTGCCCGGCGGCAGGAAACGCTTCTTGGAAGCCTTGTGCTCATTGCTCTAAGAGTATCAAAGTTGACTGTGGAAAGCCACATTCCCCTGGCTGAGAGGAGTTGGCTGCTGGTTTGTTCGGGGTGAGGGGGGAGCTTAGCCCTTGTCCTGGGAAAGAGGAGCTCCCTTCTCATTCATGCTCTTTAAAAAAAACACAGAGAGACGCAGAGGAGACAGGTATCAGTACCGGGGGGGCAGCAACGTGGGGGGGCAGAAGCAGAGAGCCCTGCTGTGCTGCGGACACCCTGCTCACCACAACCTCTCAGGCTCCTCCGAGACCGACGCAGACACGGGAGCCCCCGGGTTTCCCCTCTGCCCAGTTCAGGCCGAACTGGCCCCTGGACCTTTGGCTCCTAAATGTTTCCAACCAGGGCTGGACCTTCTGGGTACCGGTACAGGCCAGGGGAGGGATGGAGGGGAGATGACAGATGATCCCTTGGCACTGGTGTTCCAGTACAAGGCTGCTTTACAGAGAGGCCGTAAACCCCTCCTCTTGGGTTCAAAATTCCTTCTAAACCCTGGGTTTCAACATGCAGTCACCTTCGTATTTCCTCCCGAGGCTCCAAGAGGGCCAGCACTGCCAGGGGCACATGGTCCCATCCAAGTCCTAGGGATACCGGAGACAAATCTACGGCCTGTGTGTCTGCCTTGCTTCTGCAGGTCTGCGGTGCGTCTGCACACACACGTGGAACGGCACCTCGGGAGCCTCCGTGCCTACCCACGACCCTCTCTGGGCCCTACAGAAGTCCTTGGAGGTAGGATCAGGACGTGACACTGGCTAGTCAGGGATGCAGCAAAGCCAGGGCAGCACGCTGGCTCTGTTGCTACGTGGTGCCCTTGCTCCCCCAAGGAAACCGTAGCGCGGACTGTCTCTCCCCGGGTCTGCACAGCCCCTAGCACCACAGGCTCCCTGGGATTAGGGTAGTGCCAGCAGCATACGCACCGTTCCTTTCGGGGTGTTGCCATCAGCCTGCAGGTTGAGAAACGGGTTAGTCTGTGCTGTAAGGACGGGTGGGATGCCTGTCCCCGAAGCCAGGAGGCTGTTCCCGGGAGTGCTGAGCGGTGGGGTGGCCTGGGGGGCCATGAGGGCATTGCTAGGGTTGAGCTGCTGTGGGGAGAGGGAGGCCAGGAGGGAGCTGCTGCTGGGGGGTGGCTGTGGGGCCGAGGTCATCAGGGCGCTGGTGCTGGAGTGCAGGGGGGCGGAGGTGGCTGCCAGGAGGCTGGTCATGGAGAGCTTCTGCAGCCGCTGCAGCTCCCGCTTCTGCTGGATTTGCTGCATCATCTGGAACACCAGAGCCTGCTGCTCCTGCAGGGAAGGGTGAGGAAGAGGAGTCAAAGGAGGGACAAAGGGCTCAGGAAGAGGTGACACCACATACAAAGGAGCCAGGGGTCACATGGGGGCACTCCATCCCAGGCAGTGCTACTGGGGACAGGGAGAAAGTCCCCTTGATCTGTGGGTGAGGGAGGAACAGTCTGGTGTTCATTAACAGCCCGTGCTTATGACCTTTCCAACCCCATTGTTTCCTGAAGCGTAGGATCAACTATCCCTCACTAAGACACCTGCAGGCACACAAATCTGCTCAGCTCTTTCCAATCCTGTGGATTTTAAGCCTGTGGCATTCCCTATCCTGAATTTCTAGACTGGCTGCTAACTTCCTTCCCCTGACCTGACCCACAGGGTCAGCATAGGTGAGCCAGACTCAGGGGGGGACGAGGCCCACAGCTCACCTGCACCCAGAGGGACGCCCTCAAATCCAGCCAAACTGCGGGAATCACTATAGCAACCATCGACCAATGCGGCAGGCGGAGAGCTGACATTGTTCCCTACCCACAGGGATGCAGCTGATGACACGGTGACATCAGCTGCTGTAAAGAGAAGCCCTTTGAAATTTGCTTTTCCCGGGTTATAAATAGCCTGACCCAGAAATCTATCCTAAGCCACGGGCCAAGTGCAGGGGAGACGTGAACGAGCACAGCTTCATTGACGGGAACTGCCAGCACGCCCGTGCAACTCGGCCGCGGGGGAGGGACACCGCAGAGGTCTCTGCAGGGCAGGAGAATGCGGTTCTTACACACTCGGGGGCTTGTTGACCAGCTACCCGTCAGCCATTCCCACAACAGCCTGGGACGGGGCTGCTGTTTTACCTGAGGGGATGCAGGCAGAGAGCCTAATTCCTCACAACCACCGCCTGGTCCTTTTTCTGACCCTGAAGTCCGCAGCCCCCTACACCTAACGAGTTCCCCTGGCATCTCCAGCTCAGCACGTCACTGTGCCCGGACACAGCTCGGACTAAGCCTCAGGACTAAGCAGTGTGGTGCTGATCTCTTTCTAGAGGAGTCCTCAAGCAGGTTCCTCTTCTCCTGTGAGCCTCAGCACATCCGCAGGCCCAGAGACCAGTGTGCTCAGGGCAGCAGGAGCAGACATGATCCGCATTCCCAGATGGCTGGAGGAGGTAACGGCACTCCCGATTTTACGGTGGCTTAGCGTTACCATGTTTTCACACCCTCAGGATGTGGGAAACCCGGATTAATTTTTTTCCTTTGTACAAAAAAAGTTTAAATCCCCATCTCCCTCCCTCCAGGAGGTGCCGCACCTTCCTGCCTAAAGCTTTTCTCCTCACTCCACCCACAGCAGCCAGAGCCAAGGCAAAGGCACATGACTCCACAGCCCTGTGGGCAGGGGATTCACGTGAAAGAGGGAGCCCTAAGTTTTACTCTCTGCTCCGAGGCTTTCCCATTAAACAGCTCGTCAGATAAAAGGTGCCAGCAGGCACACTTACCGGATTAAGCGGCTGGGAAGTCAGGAGCTGCTGGAGCTGCTGGAGCTGTTGTTCGTGTTGGTGCAAGACGTGCCGCTGCTGCTCTGTCAGGGGACTCAGGCTGGGCATGCTGCAAGGGGAGGAGGGCAGGGAATGTCAGCGCAGCCCGTCTTGGTCCTGCACACACAGGGCGTCCCTCCTTCCCTCCCTCCCAGTGCTAAGCTTCTGCTGGAGAGGGCAGGGCTGGCCCCGCGAGCTCCCCATCCTCACCTGCTCAGGCTGGTGGAGAGCTGCAAGGTCGGAGGCCCGCTCGCCTGCGTCAGCGCGCTCGGAGGCTGGGCGGCCTGAGCTCCATTCAGATTCCCCAGGATCCCGTTGATGGGCATCTGCTGGCCTCCTGCCAGGGTCCCCATCAGGCTGTCCACCATGGGCACCGTGGATGCTGCCTCCCCCCAGCCCGCTGCCTGCCACCCTGGCCAGGCCATTCACCTGCTGCACCCCGGGCAGGGGTAGCGAGGCAGGACTCTGCTGCAGCATGGGCAGGGGCGGAGGAGTGCTGTGGAAGGACAGGGAAGAGCTGCTCCTGCTGGGGCAACCTGAATGAGGGTCCTGGGGGAGAAACGGACATAAGAGCATCGGACTGGGGCAGCTTGTGAAAGGTCAGCTCAGCTCCGAGAGGGCTTTGGGAGCTGCGGGTGGCAAAGGGGGGAGGGCTGTGAGTGCAGGTGTACGCTCAGAGGGGTCCCAGAACTCAGACATGCTTTGCTGGATCTCTAGAAGTGCGGCCAGAACACCCTAGGAGCATTCTCACCTCATGCTCCCAGTCTCAGCTACTCTACTCAGACCTTCAGCGCGGAGATGAACCGAAGAACAGGCACTCCAGGGAAAGAAACCAGATTTCTGGGCCTGGACTATGAGGCTTTGCGAGCTGGGTATCGAGTCAGAGTCCTGGGACTGCACTGTTCTGCTCCCTCCCTAAGTCCCTCCACCCGGATGTGGTGGCCAGTGTACCTCAGAGGAAGCGGAGAGCGAGTTCTCGATCCCAAAGCTGTTCTTGCAGGGGGGGCTCTTGCTGATGCTCAGGGAATCGTTGTTGCAGACTGTACGGAAAGAAGTGAGGATGCAGAGTCAGGGGTGGAGCCTGACGTTGCCTCAGCGATAGCAAGGGACTAGCAAACACACCGCCAGTGGCTACAGAGAGGTAA